TTTTTCCCAGATTTTAAAACAGATACTCTGAGCGGAGTATAAGGGAAATTTTGTGATGTAATTTAGCAAGCTTTTAAAGAAGTTAGTGATAGAGGTTATGCGATGTGAGGAATAAGCTACAAATAAAGGGAGATTAATCATAATCTTCTTAAAAAGAAGGCACAACAGCAGGATTAGAACATGAGAAAAGGTCTTAGCTTGCACACCTAGTTGTACTAATTGGAAAATGCTTCATATGTCGAGTGATTCGGTTAAAACTATACAATAAAAAATGATTTAAAAGTTACATGAGCTGATTAATCCCAAAATTCAGCTAAGACAAGCCTTAATTACTACCAGTTAATGTAGATTGACTATACTTTAAACAATTTGCTCCACTCTTCAGTATGGAAAGCTCGGTTTTCAGTCCTTCCATTATCTTAAACAGATTTAGCTACCCACATTTTTTGTTTACATTTCTAAGTTGATGCTGCCACTGGCGAAATATCATGGCCCTGACTTTGGCGCAGGTTGCTAATGGGAAATCCTATGATCTAAACCGTGAAAACCATATTGTAACGCAACTTAGCATCTGTTTTCAAATGAAAAGTGTAGCTACTTTTCCGCTTATGATCCTCAAAAAATATCTTTCTTAGTATAATTTCTGCAATAATACTTAATTAAACTTGGTGTTTAGGGTTTATGACAAGCCGTTGTTATTTATCATTTCTGAATTAGGTTATTCGAGACCACCGGTCGATCTGATACAAGAGTTATATTCACCATATTTCGTTTCCGATGATGAAAGAATTTTCCCACAATGATATGAGTTGTTATATTTGTTCACCACAGGCAAGAGTCCGGCCGAAACTTCAAATAGCAGTCCTTCGCAAGTGCAGCCGAATTCATGTGATCCTTCCTGGGAGCAAGGCCAAATGCACAGTGGCACAGGCTCCAGCTGGCCGAATAAGGCCCCTCTGGAGTCTAATCACGTTGAACCTGCTTCGCCACAACAGTCAGTCTGCACCCCTCCTCCGGCTGATCCAAGCATCCAGGGCCAGGATACGATTGTCCTCTGGGTGCCTATGCAGACCACAGCTGCCGCGCCGATGGCGACACCAATGCCGAAAATGTCCTCATTTTTTGAATTGGAAGCAGTGAAAGCATCTCAGATAAACGCAACAACAACAAGCAGAACAGAGCAAGAGACAGTTGCCAGCACTACCCAAAGTCAAAATGTTATCTCTTCACCAAAAGTGCCTCTAGTACCCCAGTCACAGAAGGATAAATGCGACTTGTACAACCTTGAAGGCAGTAGCCAGTGTCCGCGTTCAAAAGTTCAGCAGGCTGGTGAGTAGAATATATTATTCTAGATTAAACTAGTTTTTGAGACTATAATTAAATAATGCATATGAATTTAGTCACCCCAAGTCGCATTAGCCAAGTTAAGAATGGCGAATTAAGTATTACCGCAATAATAAAAGTGGGCCTCACAAGGTCACTTAATTTGACTCATCTCTGCAGGTCATCCAGGATGAACTACAGTTTCGACCTTGAATGGGTCGCATCAGCGTCCTAAAATATAATATTATTCTGGAATATTTTAGGCGAGAAGGCTGCAGATGTGGATATAATAGTTTTCAATGGCCAGTTTATTGAACTGGACAAAACAATTGTGTATTCTCGCTTATAAAGCGACATTGAAGGAAACGAGAGCACATAATTGTGTGAATAAATAGATGGGCCATATGAAGTGGGACTAAGAGAAAAAGATGCGGAACTAGAAGTCAGAACGACAAATAGGGACGATGAGTGATGCCCCAAAAGTTGAATTGAAAATTGGTCCATGGGATTGCCTTCACTTGTCACTTTGATTAGTGCTTACGATGGCGCTTCTCATCGACGATGCCGGCGACATGTTTGGAAATGTACCCAACCAATGGTCCAATGCTGGAAATTACGAATACTATGTACGTTCCACAAGGTCTTCCTGACGCTCCGA